TTTTCCCTATAGGGGTTAGATACTATAGTGGTTGACACTAATCAGGAAAAGCATGATTAGGACTCAGGATAGGTATATAATATGGATGCTAAACTTTTAATTCCATCCAAGAATGTGCCTAAGAGCCTCAGAATTTATTTTTTATGAATGTGTGCTTGAGCCTTTGTTTGTCTGGTACACTCCGCATTTGGAATTCTTGGACAGCCCTTTCCTGGGAGCTTGCTGTCCAGGCATTATATACATAGACAAGATAATCCATCCAACTAATTAAAGTTAACATTTTCAATTGATTACCTCAAGCTCTTCGGTCTTCTCTTTTGACAGAATTTTCTCAATCTCCTCCCTTGATATGATTTTTCCATGCTGATCAGAGAGCAGGGAAGTAAAAACTTCAGTAAAAAAATGACACAGTGGATGCTAGAAAAAAATCCAGCAAGTCAAATAATAAATAAAGAAAAAAAAGGTGTTAAATTTAGCATGTGAGATGAAAAAATTCACGATAACTGTGGATGAGTAAACAATGAAGAACAATGACTTAACCTGACCATAAAACTCTTCATAATGTTCCAGAAAAGAAAAAGGTAGGGGGATTTGAAATGTACTGACCTCCTTCAGAAAAGACAGCATATTTGGTGTCGGTTCATGAAAATCTGGGCCTCTGTAATCAATCACTTCATCTGGATCTTGAATATAGTTCACAGTTGGGTAAACAGGATCTCCGCCCCATACTGCAAAGGCCAAATAAATTAGTCAACAAACTAAAATGGACTTCTTGCCTTACAAAAACAACATCAACACATATTCAAGATCCTACAGTTATAAAAGGGAAAAAATGAGATTCAGATTGATGTTATTTAATCAAGATCATTAAACATGTTTAATGAAACTATTGGATGCCTAGTGAATAACAGGTGACAATCTAAAGTACTGCCGTGATTAATAGATGAAAGGCATAATGTTGGAATATGTTGATAAAATATTTCCCGATATTGTGAATACATAATTTGCAATAGAGCCCATAAGATGCCATGAAAGTGAATGTTCTTAATAATGACTTATGGCTTACTAGCAGCAACACAAAAGCTCAAAAGAAAGAAAGAAAGAAAGAAAGAAAGAAAGTGGCACACATGTACACATAAACATAAGTCCAGAAATATGGAAGTATTAATCCATCTTCCCCCTCTTTTCTTGGAGGTTGGAAAAGATTAATATATTGGGTCAATAAAGGAATATGCAATCATTGTTTTGACCAACTACAACTGTACAAGAATGCATCACTTATCCAATCAAAATAAACTGACTTGAAAACCTTTTCTAAATGAACTGAACTGTTTCAGTGGTTGAAATGATTAAATAATGATATGAAGAATGAAAGACATGAAAATAACGCACAAAATTATCAGCTTTGGAGTGAGTACTTTGCTTTATTTGATCCTCTCGCATACGCATCGCTAAGGGGTCCCTACGTATACGGATATCAGTCCCCATCATTATGCGATACTCTCGATCAGTTTGTTGAGAAAACATTTCAATTAGTTGGGTTGTTTCATTTTCACCAGTCTCTTCAAAATGTTTCTGAACAGCTTCTCGAGAAGTGTCTCTTTTCCACGCTTTAACCCATTCTGAATAGTATGCAAGTGGACCTATTCTATCCAGCTTCTCTTGTTCTGCTTGAAGCCTACAAAATCAGCAGTTACTTGAAAATTCCACATAAAAACAAAACTCCATAGAAGTTCTTAATCAATATTTTGAGGTTGCAAGGCAATCATTACTTGCAAACAAAATAAGAAATAGAGAAGCAGGTGCAAGGAAAAAAGCCTAGCCTAAATAAAACCTAAACTAAGACACAAATCATTCTAAGTTGACAATGCAAAGTCCCAAGAGAGACTTCCATAAGCAAACAAATCCAAAATCAAGAGTTGAGCACTGGGACAATCCTTTCATCTCCTTTAATTTGTTTAAAGGGTGCTGCAGCAATGTTTCTTTATTGTTATCACTCTCCTTAGTACCGACAGAATGACAAAACCAACCATCAATTTTCACCACATCCTTGTATAAATTCTTAGTAATGTCATACATAATTCTAAACTACATACGTATGTCTTCCAATATATTATATATGTACTGAAGATTACAAAATTAATCATCAATTATACCTCTCTTCCTTGAAAAGATGTCGTCTTGCTCTGTAAAGTGAAGTTTCAGTCAATGTTGGATGTTCACCATAAAGCTTTACTTGCCCAGTCTCTGCCATTGCTTTGAGAAAAACCTAAAGAAGTTGAAAGACAATATCCAAGTCAAAGTAGGAGACCATTTTCCTTCTGATGTTCCTGTTAGTTTATGGATTGATTACATGGGCGCTCTAACAAGAAGTGAGCTTATATTGATTTCATTAATACATGTAATATAAGTGGCATTGCTTATTTGTGAGAACCCCATGTAAACAAGACCCAAAATGTTGCAATTCCAAAAAAAACGGAGTAGGGTGGACCCGTGAATATATTCCGACACGGTCTTTCACTCCAAAACCAAATATGATTAGTAATTCTTGACAACAAAGCTTTTAATTTTGTAATATTTAAAAAGTCACATGGTTCAAATCACCTAGACATTCAAAAAATTGGTTTATAGATCCCTTGGCTTATACGTTCTGTGAGCCTTGCATCACAATCCCAAAATTACATACAGCATTGTCATTTTGTCTCTATTAAATATGCACTAACCGTTTCAAGATCTGGTCGTCTCCTTTGCCATCTGGACCATTGTTCCTTGTCTGGTTTTTTCCAGTTCCACCATAGTTCATCACTTGTAAGTGGCTCCTCTAGTGGCTTCTTTGTTTCTGGATCAATAAAGGGATGAGGACGTCCAAGTTTCTTGTCTAGTTCAAATCCTGTTTCTTCTTCTTTTTCAGGTTCAGTCTGATAGACAACATATTCAGATGGGAAATCTTTAGGATCCTCTAGTGTGTCCTCTGAAGTCTCTGGTTCCAGTTCCACTGCCACTGTACCACTTGATTCTACACTTGGTTCAGAAGATTCACCAGCAGCAACAGATGTTTTATTCTTCCTCCTCCTACTTCCAGGATTTCTACCATAAGATGGAGATCCAACTGATTTACCAGTGGGCTCAGGAGCCCTGGCAGCCCTAACTCGACTTGCAGTTCCTTCAGGCCAATAATCCTGCCCTGGAATGCTGGCACGAGCACCTGATGCAGGTTCAAGCTGCCCAGATGTTGAGTCCATATAGCTATCATAGGGTGGACGTTCAATAGAGAAATCTTTGGAGGAATCATCCTTCTTCTCACACTTTATAGAAGGAAGTAAAGGTGCCCTCTTTGGTGATATATTCAAGCCAACTCTAACTTGGAATAATCCAACTGGAAATGAACTTACAGTTGATGCCTGTGCTATTCACATAAAATTAGCACAACAGTAAACGGTTTAAAAAAAGAAAAAGAAAGGTGACGAAGAAAAATATGTATTTTGGAACCTACCATTTCAAATATCTTACCAGAGCCAGACATTAGAAATTAGGTCAACATATAGAGTAATACAAAAAATACAAGCACTAAAATGACATAAAGACATCGGTTCCCAGTAGCATGGTTCTGTGCGTGCAGGGAGGCAATTGATTCTGGAAGATTACAAGCCTACAAGGCAAGCTTTAATGCATGGGTTCAAACAAAATCAGTCCAAGCTCAAACACTTTCCTCATGCAACGAAAAAGTTATGCTCCCAAGTAGCATTTGCAAAACAAGTTTACAAAATTCCCCAACTAAAAGTACTAATCTCAACTTAGCCAGATGGGCAGTTTAGTCCTGGCATTGTTTAGCATAATTAAACAAAACTTCAACCAAAGAAATCGCCCATGTTAATTACTAAAGAAATCATTTCACAAGGAAATGGAGACTTGAATAAAGGAAGCCTAAAAACTAAAGCAACACGAGTAAAAAACAGAAGAAATTCCACAGTGACCAATATGCATATGTTATGCAGAGAGAGAGAGAGAGTCATACAAACATGCATATGTGTGTGTGTGTGTGTGTGTGTGTGTGTGTAAGAGTGAATTTATTGGAGAGAATACAAACCTTGAAATGATTGAAACATGGGTTCCCAGTAGCATGGTTCTGTGCTAAGACTGCACCTTTCAATCCTCTATCTGCCAGAAGCACACCAAAAGCTTGGAAAAAGAAAAGAAAAGAAAACTTGTATATGAAATTATCTTCAGCATTAAATAAGATAATAAGACCAAATATTCACACCTTGATACAGCCAAGTTCCTGATATAGATGCCATTTCACTTTAACCGCAGCATAAATATCACCAAAATCTGGAAAACCGAACCAAACTTTATTTAAAGAAAAAAGAAAACGATTTGGGTACCAAGTGAATATATATTACTAACTATTTTAATTCTATTTGGGCACTCACAGAGAGTATCTAATAACAAAGAAACTGGAAGTTTTAATCTTGCACTGCAATTCAATTTGTAACCCAAAGAACTGTAATGTGGGAAAAGAACAGAACTGGAGTTTGAAGGCATAAAACGTACCGCTATATGGCAAGATTTGAAAAGGGAGTTATTGAGCTGGTTCAGCTGCTGAATTCTGGGTATAGATGAAGGTATGAATCGTTGCTGGGAATTTAAAGTTTGGAGCTCTTTGGCTCAACCCGCTGTGTAAGTAAGACCCGAGAGGGGAAGTGAGGGGGAGCTCAGGGTTTTGGAAAATTGGATAAGGGCTTTGCATTTTTTTTCCCTTTAAAATAGTCCAACTTGCTCATAAAATTAAGGCTTTTTATCACAAATGGTCCTTAACGTTTATCAAATTATCACGAATGGTCCTTGAGGTTTTTTTGTGACACTAATAGTCCTTAACGTTTGAGCTGTGTGTGTGTGTGTGTGTGTGTGTGTGTAAGAGTGAATTTATTGGAGAGAATACAAACCTTGAAATGATTGAAACATGGGTTCCCAGTAGCATGGTTCTGTGCTAAGACTGCACCTTTCAATCCTCTATCTGCCAGAAGCACACCAAAAGCTTGGAAAAAGAAAAGAAAAGAAAACTTGTATATGAAATTATCTTCAGCATTAAATAAGATAATAAGACCAAATATTCACACCTTGATACAGCCAAGTTCCTGATATAGATGCCATTTCACTTTAACCGCAGCATAAATATCACCAAAATCTGGAAAACCGAACCAAACTTTATTTAAAGAAAAAAGAAAACGATTTGGGTACCAAGTGAATATATATTACTAACTATTTTAATTCTATTTGGGCACTCACAGAGAGTATCTAATAACAAAGAAACTGGAAGTTTTAATCTTGCACTGCAATTCAATTTGTAACCCAAAGAACTGTAATGTGGGAAAAGAACAGAACTGGAGTTTGAAGGCATAAAACGTACCGCTATATGGCAAGATTTGAAAAGGGAGTTATTGAGCTGGTTCAGCTGCTGAATTCTGGGTATAGATGAAGGTATGAATCGTTGCTGGGAATTTAAAGTTTGGAGCTCTTTGGCTCAACCCGCTGTGTAAGTAAGACCCGAGAGGGGAAGTGAGGGGGAGCTCAGGGTTTTGGAAAATTGGATAAGGGCTTTGCATTTTTTTTCCCTTTAAAATAGTCCAACTTGCTCATAAAATTAAATTAAGGAAAAAAAAAACATGAAAAATTGAAAGCCAGGCCGGTAATAACATTATTAAACTATGTTAAAGTATAAAAAAGAGTTTAACCAAAAAACATATAAAAATTAGAAATTCATGAATTGTGAGAACTTAAGCGAATCTTCATTATTTAGGAGTAATGAAATGCAAAAGTGTATCTTCACCGTAACATCAGACGCATAAGTGTACCTTCAAATATAGTCATAAATAGTCAAAGAAATTCCGACATATAAATTACAAGCTTGCAAACCTCAAATATAGATACAATGCACCTCAATATACAAACTACAAGTAAACAAATCTTTTTTTTAATTTTTTGGTAAGATTGTAAACAAATCTAACTGATTGAAAAAACCAAAACTTTCTTCCTAAGTCCTCAATATACAAACTACAAGTAAAAAAATCTTTTTTTTGTTGTTGTTGTAAGATTGTAAACAAATCTAACTGATTGAAAAAACCAAAACTTCCTTGCTAAGTCCAATTTCATCAAATTAAAGAAGAAAAAGGAAAAAGAAAGAAAAGAAAAATATATTTTAGGTGCAGGCACCTGACCCTTCTTTACGAAATGGGGGGCAAAAGAAAATATAAAAAAACCCAAAAAGAATGGGAATGAAATCTACTTAGCATCAGTTATTCTCTCGTTGAGTAAAATATCTTCCTTTTATCTCAGAATAAATTTTCCTCCTTTTTGTACCAACATTCCCCTACTTCTCCCTCCTCAATCTAATCCCATCTGCATTTTCACTGTACGGTCTCTTCTGGGTCGAGATCAAACTGTGTGCAGAATGCCGGTGAGGCCTTGATGATTTTAAGCTTTGCTGTGTTGAATTTTGTTGATGCGTTTTCTTGCATTGTGATGCTGAATTGTTGACATTGCTTGATTCTTGAACTCGATCCCTCTGAACCCATTACGGGGTTCGAGTTCTCTCAGTGTATGCTTGCGTTTCTTGCCACTATTGATTCGGTATTGAATATTGGATAGGGGTTTGTCTTGAGGATTTGGGAAAGCTTTACTTTGCGTGTTTTTCTTGGGTTTAGAGTTGGAGCTTGTATTGGGTTTCTCTTTGGTCATCGAAGAAATGGGCATCGGAACTTTTTGGTTGTTGTAGAGTATACTGTAGTCTGTGTTTTAGTTTAATAGAGATGAAGAGGCCGAAAATTGAACCTTCTGTTGCTAGGAGGTTCAAATTGCAGCATTTATTGTTTGCTTTAGCGGCATTGTACTTGGTCTTCATATCCGTTAAGTTTCCCCAGTTTCTAGAGATAGCAAAGGCGATGAGTGGTGATGATGGCTATGTTGGATTGGACCTGGCCAAAGTACAGGACTCTCAAGATGGGGATTTGAGTAAACCATTATTTAGTTCCGTTTATAAGGATACATTTCACAGGAAATTGGAAGACCAGAGCCAAGATGCGCCTGTGAGGCCTAGCAAGGAACCTTTGGAAGAGAAGAAAAGTGAGTCTAAGCCTATAAGGCCACTACAGCATCGATATGGTCGGATAACTGGTGAGATTCTGAGGCAAATGAATAGAACTAATGAACTTTCAGTGCTTGAGAGGATGGCAGATGAGGCTTGGACATTAGGGTTAAATGCTTGGGAAGAAGTGGATAAACATGATGGGAAGGAGACAGGAGAGGGTTCTATAGTTGAGGGAAAACCTGAGTCATGTCCTTCATGGCTATCGATGAGTGGGCAAGAATTGGCAATGGGAGATAAGTTGATGTTCCTTCCTTGTGGGCTTGCTGCAGGCTCTTCTGTTACGGTGGTGGGAACATCCCATTATGCTCATCAGGAGTATGTGCCCCAGCTGGCAAAGTTGAGGAGGGGTGATGGAACAGTTTTGGTCTCGCAATTCATGGTTGAGTTGCAAGGATTGAAGTCAGTGGATGGGGAGGACCCACCGAAGATATTGCACTTGAATCCACGATTAAAGGGAGATTGGAGTCAGCGGCCAGTCATTGAGCACAACACCTGTTATAGGATGCAATGGGGATCAGCTCAAAGGTGTGATGGTTTACCATCCAAGAACAATGAAGACATGCTAGGTAACAATGTTTCATTGATTTAGAAGATAAGTTCTTTCCTTGTGTTTCTGTATCACAAGCCATGGTATTTGTAAATGGGCATAAAGATTCATAAGCAAACACAAATGTTTTTTTAAAAAAACATGAGTATACCTGTGTATGAATGGAGTTAATGCTTTTTATGAGGATATGTCCCTTAACAAGAAAAAGTTTGAATATAGCATGAAATATTAAGATTATATGAGGATAAAGGATGTCGAACATTTGTTTGCGTTTCAGATTGTAAAAACCATTTCCCCCTTCTTTCTATCGTGTAGCTGTTCATTATGTAGATTATATATATATAAAGCATTCGACTGAGCTGTATACCATGTGGGTTGCTTATTCTTGCTGGTTCCTCCTTAACAATCCTGACCATCCTACAGTCACGCTGTTATTTCAAAGGATGGGGAACTTCTTTTATGCTTCTCAGAATGTAGACTCCAATATCCACCTTCTTTCTATTGTCTAGCTGTTCATTATGTAGATTATATATATAGATTGTTATAAGCCATGTGGGTTGTAACATGACTTTATGTGGCAGTTGATGGATATGGGAGGTGTGAAAAGTGGATGCGGAATGATATGGTAGACTCAAAGGAGTCCAAGACCAAGACTACCTCCTGGTTTAAGCGATTCATAGGGCGTGAGCAGAAGCCAGAAGTTACCTGGCCATTTCCCTTTACAGAGGGTAGACTGTTTATCCTGACCATACGTGCTGGTGTGGATGGATTCCATGTTAGTGTTGGGGGCAGGCATGTGACTTCATTTCCATATCGGACGGTATGTTGCATAACTGAGTAACTTACCTACATTGCTTATGTTTGCCTCTGAGATTTGCATGGTGCAAAATCGCCAATTTGGTGCAAATAGTGCTGCTAGTTCTGCCGTACAGCTCTTGTTGTTGGGAAAAGAAATCCTGTTCAATCGTTTGCATTTTAAAGTGATTTGACATATCCTCTCAGATTTTGTCGTTGGTTTCCTTTCCCCGTTGTCTCCACCCACTTTCTGAATTCCATTTAACATTATGTGTTTAGTTACTTTTTTTCTTTGTGTGATTTAGAGAAATTGCGCGAATATGCCAAGGCCATAATTATGATTAATGATTATATGTGTTTTGAGCTGTCTGGTCTGGTTATATCATTTCAGTTTTATTCATTGTCTGTTTCCCATGTTTTCCCTATCATTAATGGAATGTACGTTTTTCTAATTATTTTTATGCTTTAACTTTAGGGTTTTACACTTGAAGATGCAACCGGATTAGCAATTAAAGGAGATGTTGATGTACATTCTGTTTATGCTACTTCTCTTCCCACTTCTCATCCAAGTTTCTCACCTCAAAGAGTACTGGAGATGTCAGAGAAGTGGAAAGCTCGTCCTTTACCTAAGAGTCCTATTAGGCTATTTATTGGCGTTCTTTCTGCTACAAATCACTTTGCAGAGCGCATGGCAGTGAGAAAAACTTGGATGCAATCATCCGTAATCAAGTCCTCAAACGTAGTAGTCCGTTTCTTTGTTGCATTGGTAAGTTTCTTGCATTTATCTTCTGAATAATTGATCTGATATTAAGAGTTGAGTAGTCAGATCTCATGATCATTTGGTGTTGGTAACCATTTATAAGGCTGGAGAACAAATATTACATTGGTCTTTTTCTCTTTAAATGAATATTGTCCTTGAGTAGTTACATCTCATCATGCAGTGTAAATATAAGTGTGTCTCTAACTGGTTGAGCGTGCAGTTCAGTCTTTCAAGTTTTTGTTTGTTATCTATTTTGAAGTTTTGGCTTTTGTTTGTGTTAGATGAATCTTTAACTGAAAGGGGAAAGCTGCATTACATCTGTTTTAACATGTCAGACAGGCCAGATTGATGTTTGAATTTCATTGCCTGGAAACTGATGTAGATATGGTTTTTGAATTGTATGGGGTTCATTTATGTAATATGGAATGCACTTGTTCAAATTGTTTTGATGAAATAAAAAAGTACCCTCTGTAAATGGATTCCAACTTGTAGGAATGACTTGGTTTAAGTTCAAATTCTATTCTTGGATCATTTCGCAATATCTGTCATCAAATAACTGAATTGTGCCTTTAGGGTCATAACCTTTGAAATCTTTCTCGCAATAAAAAGAAAAGAACTTGAATAATATAACACAAGGACTTGTAGATGATTGAGGTTGCTACAGAAAATGGAGTTATTGGGATGTGAGGCCAAAGCTTATATTGAATCAAACTGTTCCATATTCATGCTTTCCTTCAATAATTGGTACTAATTATTAAGTTCTGCAGAATCCGAGGAAGGAGGTAAATGCAGTGTTAAAGAAAGAGGCTGCTTACTTCTGTGATATTGTGATTTTGCCCTTTATGGATCGCTATGAGCTTGTCGTTCTGAAAACCATCTCTATTTGTGAGTTTGGGGTAAGTTCAGTTTATCCTCCTGTATTCCTTCATTGAGTTTACATATCTAGGTGTGTGAGTTTACATATACATATATGGGGCGGATCCGTGGCACTATGTTTTTGACATAAGTTTTGACATAATTTTATAACCTTTGGATGCAAGCACTTTCAATGGTTAAGATTACATGTGAATTGACTATTTAATTTACAAATTAATGAATAATAAAATATTAACCCCACTTTTCTATTTTTTTTGTGGTCAAATTCCCCACTTTTCTAGGTAACTTTTTTTTTTTTTTTGGGGTCAAGTTTCTAGGTAACTTTAATGTGCCAATAAAAATACTCTCTCCTCAATAAAATTCGCAATAAACAATAATTAATCTCTTTCTTCTCAGAAACAATCCAACTTAATTCAATCAAAAAACAAGAACAAAAAAGAAAACTCAGATCTATCTATCACATGGAAAGTCTTGGAGCACCGACG